AACCGAATTGTATCGTATATGCGTGGCCGATGTGCTAATGCCCTCGCTGTTCAAAGCCACGGAACCGATGCTACTGCTATCTTCGTCCTCGAACTCGGCTTGCTTGTACATCATCATCTAAGACAAAATTAAGCAAACGTATTAAATCACGTTCGTAACGCTACCCGTATAAATATATATATATACATGTATAAATTAATTTATTTTTGCGTTTATTTATCATAGATAGGCATCCCTTCTTTTCCACATTCTTTTACGAATTGACACGGAACGACTTTGCCAAAGATAAAGCCTTGTTATTACACAATATAGCCGTATAATACGAGATAATGTAATTAATTACTGGCCAATTTTTTAAAAGCCGCGAAATTCCTTCAAAATGTTTCAACCGAATTGTTTCCAATTATAGAAATGAATGGTCGCTCGTACAGTCGTTTGTGCGATCGCATAAAATGGGATAGAGGCAACGATATACGTCGACCACGTGTCTTAAGTCATAAACGGAAATAAAACGAGAGAGAAAACAGTCTACTTTGCTTCTACTTGAAATTGTTTACGCAGCGTGAAATAACGAAGTAGAAGATTCTAAATTAAGAATATACATATATATATATATATATAAAATAAGTCGTATAAAGTAGAAAAAAAAACACGTAGATTTTTCATTCGTCTTGAAGGAACAACGCACGATTGTCTTCTCCAACGATGATGCGCAAGTGCGAACTTTATTCTAACCATGGACGAAACCAAAATAATACATAGATAAATATACAGATAAATTCAACGGCGATATATATATATGATTATATATCGATCCTCGCGAAGAATTTTTCGATTCTATCCAAATCCATATGATGCTTGCAATTGTAGCATCGCGTATAGAAAATGTTACATATTTACTTTGGATTTTCAGGTTAGTTTCTTCGATCGAAACTATCAAAATCGAAAAGATTTAAACCGCGCGAAATTACGTTATTGAAAATTATTATTTTTAATTATTCTACATTCTGATTTTTCGTGAAAACGAAAACAAAATCGACGATAAATAATAATAATTGTCGAGAAAAGATAAGATATCGACATATATAAATAATAATTCTTGAAAAAAAGAAAACAGAAGAGGCACTGCGAAAGAAACACGATGAACGTTCGTGTTGAAACTGCAAGTTACGTACGCGCGAGCAAGTACACGCGTGCAAACACGAGGATCCGAAGAAGAGCGCGCACGCGTCTACAATCGAGTTGCTTGTTTCGTCTCTGACCTCCTAACAGGAAACGGACACTTGTAGCCTCGTTAATACGATTAAAATGCTTTCTGTCTCATATTGTGTTCCCTCATATTCATGGTACGTACTCCGTATCTGTGAGACACGACAATTACCATGAATTTCTCTTTTTCAAGCGATATCGCAACCGTTACACGTTAGTTTATCCATAGTTTGCAAATCACTATTTCAACACCGATATAATATCTTCAACGTAAACTTCAATATTATCGCATCTAATCGTATGAAGAAGATGTAACGCGATTTTTTTCTCTCTTTTTAATTCTAATATTATAAATATATACTCGATAGTGTTCGTAATTTTGCGTATTGCGTAAAATCAGAGCGTCAATAGTACGAGATGGTACATCAATGGCACATCATCGTACCAGAATGAGAAAAAAATTATATATAATTTAAGTTGGTACGAGAATACGCGTATAATATATATATATATATATATCGATGACGAATGATGGATTGTTTACGCGATAATGCACTTAAATTCGGAAGTAGTACATATGGATAATCTGAAAGAAGAATCTTATCCGGGAAAATCGTTCGTATTACATTTGTTACGTAATGAGTCGAGTACGCAGTTGATAGGATAACACTTTATAAAAAAAAAAAAAAAGGATAAAGGAATTAAATGTAAGATAAAAGGTACGGGATCGAAACTCGATCGCTATTCGGAATCGATTGAAACGGAATCGTCTATCCGTCATTCGATCATCCGATTCTGATCGGATGGTGATTCTGGAACAACATTCTTATCCATCTGTTTCTTCAATTCGTATCACTCACCTTCACCGACATCTTGTCCAGCACGTCACTGTACACTATCACTTACAATTTATCGATTCACTGTACCGAGAGCGAATCTTTCCTCGCTTGGAAACACGAATTTTCAAACAAAAGGGAGCAGACGGGAACCGACCAGATAACGAGCGAAGCGGGACAGCGGAGAAATAGACGGAAAGAAAGATGGATGAAAAATCAAGGAGAACGTTATTGTTATTACGCTCGAAATTGTTCCGTCCACGAGACTATGACATTTTCCACCGTTTTTCTCAGCTCGGCCGCTATATCGGCGCGTTCCTAACTTTCCGTGGCTCTCTCTTATGGGGGGATGCTTCGATGCACCTCAACCCCTCTACCAATCTTCTCTCAATATTGATTTCCTCCGAGCCTGAGTGCACCTGCCATCTTTTATCGTCACCTCGTGCCGGTAACAATATCGTTTACCATCCCAGTCAGTGTCACAGTTTTTCATTTTCTTTCTTTATTTTTCTTTTATATTATTTTATTCTCTAACCATTACGACTCTTATTTTTCCGATCAATCACATTTTTTTATACTTATACTTTTCCTTTCCTCTTCCTCTTCTTCATCATCTCTCGGTTCTTTTTTTTCTCTTTTTTTCTTCTTTCTTTCTCGCCCCTTTGCAATCCCCATTTCAATCAACCTACTCACTCTTCAATCTAACCATTCGATGGATTCGAGAAAAATTTTCTTTTTGCGCGATCGGTAATCTGTTACCGTGCAATAATAATTCTATAATAAATCCGTGCGAAGAATAATTTTAATGGATAAACCCGGGATATATAGAGAAGTAACAATTCGATAATCGGAATTTAATTTTATATGAAAAAGGTGATAAACTTGTAAAAAATAGCGATCGCTAATGATCAAAATATATATGTTGTAAGTTATATGAATAAATATCTTGTCTTTATTTCAGCAAAGACAATCTTTCATATGAGGTACAATATATATCTTACAATATATTAATACGAACATGATTGCACGTTACGGTGAGAGGATCATTTGGACTAGTTATCGATCGTTAGAGTTACGCAGACTATGCACGCACACAAAATATAATGTTTCCTGAACTTATATATGTAGAAGACCCTCTTTAATCCGATACGATAGTAACTCGACGTGTTATTTTATATCTTATGCGTTATTTAATTAGCCTTTATTCGATTGGACTGTTAAAACAGCTCGTCCATTTTAATTCGATTACAAAAAATAATTGTGCATGTATATGTATACACTTATGTACTAAATGCATACGCATACACGCATTTGTATATATATTATACATAATATATATATATACACATATATATTATACATATATATACATATATATATACTATGTATAATTCTAATAAATAATATTATATTATATTATATATATATATATATATATATATATATATATATGTATA